GTGTAATGCATCCGAGTTTTTCAAGAAAGTTGCTGAAAACTATATATAGTCATTACATGTTTAAGCCTTTAAATTACTGAACTATTTAAAAACCACAGTTAATATTCAGAATCAGCTTAAATGTTGTTTTTGTATTGCAGCTGAAGAAACCTCAACAGTAATTCATACTAGCAACTAGCTGCAGGAAGGCAGAGACTTCTGAATTAAGCAGATACAGACATTAGTTACTTCAAAACAAATTCCACACAGATTCCTTCTCAATCTAGGATTACACCCAACATTTAGATCATGTTTATATTTGGCTCCAAAAGGAATGTCTGAAACTGTTTATAAGAAGATTATTACTAGTAAGGAGATACTGTGTTGGTGGGAGGATGGCATTTGGACCATTTGCCCTAAACAGACTTGAAATGTCATAAATAATGATATTTTCAATTCTATAGACTTTTTGTGGAGAAAAATCTAGTGACATTCTTCAAATCCTTGTAGCAATTAAAAATCAAATGTGAATTAAAATTTTAATTCAGAAGTGAGTTCAAGTTGAGACCAGAGTGATTTTTCTTTTAAAGGAGAAAAGGCAATCAGAGAAAAGACCTAAGTGAAGAAACTGGGGAGATATGAGGACCAGAAGAAATTAATGAAGTGCTACAGCAAAAAGCAGACAGTCAAATATAAAACTGAGCCATGGCACTGGGAATAAGGATGGAAGAAAGCCAGGGCCTGGACACCGTAAGGAACACACTTTGAGCCAGGACTTTGGTAGCAAACAAGGAATTCTCTCACAAATGCAGTCCCCACAGTGTTCCCCTGCAAGTATCCTTGAAGATTCTGAGAAGGTGAAAATGAGGGGTCTTCCAGTAAGGAAGACAATTTAGAATCCTGGGACTATGCCACAAAATGAGTGTATTTGTCCGTTTTCCGTTACTATCACAAAATATATGAGGCTTGGAACTTTACAAAGAAAAGCAGTTTATTTAGTTCGTAGTTTGGGAGGCTGAAGATCCAAACAGCCATAACATCAGCTCTGGTGAAGACCATGAGCATGTGGGAAAGAGAGATCACAGGTTGAAATAGAAAACCAGAGCTCAGAGAGAGGCCAGGCTCACGTATATAATAATCCTCCTGGAAGAACTAACCAGAGTCCCTGGAAAACTACATCAATTCCTTTTGAGGGCAGTGCCCTTCATGACCTAATTACTTCCCTCTAGGCCCCACCTCTTAAAAGTCCTGCCACCTCTTAACATCATCAAGCTGGGGACAAAGCTTCTAACACATAAACACTTGGGGGGACAAACGACATCTAAGCCACAGTGGTGGGACATGTATTTGCATTCTTGGGGTGTATTTCATCAAAGTGGTGCCCATTTTGGCTGAAACTGATAGGAGGAAGGTGGTCATGCTCACCTCTGAGTCTTGGCTGCACCCAGGACTGTTCAGCTCACCTTGCCTTTGTGTGGTACTACTCCCTGGTTTCATTCATACAACTGACAGTTTAAAAAGTTTTTTAGTCCGTTGGCATTTAGTAAACTATGTTTTTCCATTCAATTAATAAAAATTGTTGGGTCCTTGCTAGGTGCAAAGCTCTGTACAAAGAAAGCACTGAAACAAAGAGTATAAAGGCAGATAAGAGCCCTCTTGAGGGGTTCTACCCTAAAGATACATTCAAACAATAATGACAGTGTGGTGTGACGATGTCTATAATAACATTTTGTGGGGGGTATTACCTGGGGTTAGAAGATGCCATGCTAAACTAATAGAAGAGGTAATATCTAAGGAGGGGAATATTTCTTGAGTGTGAAAAATAATAAAAGGAAAATTACCTATATAGTTAGTACAGGGAGACAAGAGTTTGAAAAATCAAAAAAATAGGACAGAGGATTGGCAGACTATGGGGCTGGCAGGCACCCATGGGAAGGAGGAGTTAAGAGTTCTCTTGGGCTGGAACCCTCTAACCTACCTTGGCCAGACACATCATTTTCTTGGCAGCCAGCTTTCTGTGCCCCATCATTGAGATTTTCCCCCTATGCCATTATCTGAGGCCCTTAACGCCCCTGTCATGGGCAGGGGAATAGCAAGGTAGGAGAAACATAATTTATTCATGCCATTCTGCTTATGCCGTAGTAGAATCTGTCCACAAATCAATAAATATACAGTGAAACGAGGGTGTTCACAATCTATGGTTCAACACACTAAAGAAAGAAATTCATGGCAAACTGATGGAGAAAAATGTCTAACTGGCATCTTTGTGGTTACCCCCGTGCCTGGTTACCAGGGGTATTTGCCTCAACCTGGGTACCCTTATTGAGGCTTCCTGCATCTGGCCTCCTTGTTCTGGCCTTTGGGCTCCCTGATGTCCAGTAGGCTGGGACCACCTGAGGTCTACTCAGGGCCCCGACTTTTGGGAAGTTGTTCCAGACCCACATGTCCTGGCAAATCAACCTCCTTCCCTTTCCTGCCTTCTCCCTCTCCCCTGCAGGTCTTTGAAGAGAAGCAGCACCTGAAAGACTGAGGCAGACTCCCCCTCACCAGGTTGTGGCTGATGAGTGGGTGCTTCACCCTCCCTTCCCCTTTGCAGCCAGGGGTCTGAGGGGCTAGTGGTATTGTCAGCATTCCTGGTTCTGGGAAGGCAGGGTTACTGGGACGTCAAGTCCCAGAAGTCTCTGACAGAATCTGGGACAGCTGATCATCTAAAATTATCTTGCAATTAATAAATTATTCTCTGTTTCTTACTAAGTGAGGGAGTCACCAACACATTCTAATGCTGTTCAAAACCCTTAAGCCTCTTACTCAGGGAGAGCGCTTGTTCTCCAAGTTTCTCAAAGTTCCTTCTTTTATTACAAAATGGACCCGTTGAGATAACCTTTAAGAAAATCTTGTGTCAACTTCAAAATAAATACAAAGTGCTATAAACCACCTTATCCAGTTCCCCCAAGTAGAATTTAATCTATCTGTCTGCTATTCTTATAATCATCTCTATGTTCAGTAGAGCCTTTCTCAATTCAGCCTTGTCTGTCTTCCTCCTGTGAGTAGGAACCCTTTGAGGGAAGATCCGGATCTTGTTTATCTGTTTTTTCTGCCCCATGGGCTTGGCCAGGGCCTGACACAGCACATGCTAGGCCCTGCCTACCTCCTGATAGAGTTCTCTCCCCATTTCTACTGCTGCAGCTTCTGGGTCCTCATGTGCAGGCCTGGCTTGGGCTTGGGCTTGGGCTCTGATGCCACAGCCAGTTGCAATTAGAATCAAGTCCACCGGAACATAAGCTCCATTAGGGTTAGTCCTATCCTAGGTTAGGGCCATGTCCCTACAAAGTGCATACCACCTAATAATCTCTCAATAATCATTAGTTGAGTAAATGAATGAGTGAAGGAAGAGATGGAAGGATGAATGGATGGATGGAAGGAAGGATGGATGGGAGGATGGAATAAGTTACAATTGCTGGGAACCAAATCTCATCTTCTGTCCCAGTTTACTCAGCTGAGCTTCTCTTTTCCTCCCTGTGCTCCAGTTGCCTGGTGATAGACCTGTGCCTCTCTACCTGAGCTCTGGCATTTTTAGCTTTGCCTCCCATGCATTTCCTACCTCCTCATTTCACCTCTTCATGGCCTCATCTTGTGCCCTCATGTCTGCCTCGCCTCCTTCCCACTGTCATCATGCTCTTCAGACACTTAATGCGAGCATCGACTGTTCCCTGTTCCTTCCTGTGCTGCTCTTTTTGATATCTCTGGGCCCTCCTAGTCACAGTCCCATTCCAAGTATCAGCCTCAGTCCCATTCCAAGTATCAGCCTATCTATGGTGTGCCGTGAATACAGATGGACTGAACTGTATTATTTGGTCTCTTGTCTTCAATCATAAGGTAACTCAGGAGAAATCTGTTTATTTTTGCAAAACTGAAGTCGGATGCCTTCTGCCATGATGCTTCTCTTATACCAGTGATACCACAAGAGAGAAGCACTCATCTCTTATACACCAGACACTGTGGGGCATTTCCTCGCTAACTTGACATTGGTGTTACTCTTTACTGGGGCTGTGGCTGTGGCTCAGCGGTAGCGCACTTGCCTGGCATGTGTGAGGCACTGGTTTCAATCCTCAGCACCACATATAAACAAATAAATAAAATAAAGATCTATCAACAATTTAAAAAAATTTTTTTAAACAAAAATAAAATGAAATATATTACCTATGTAGTTCCTTTAGCAGTGCTTATATATTGCTTAGTTTTGGGCCCCACAATAAATTGAAAAAAGTCAATTTATAAAATTTTGGGGGGATAAGAGTAGATAAATAAAGATACTGTGATTAATATTGGTGGGTAATTAGCTTTTTCATTGTCTATTAACCAGTTACAATTGACTCTGATACATAAATACATTTGTAGAGAGCCAGGAAAAAAGATGAATGGGTCTATAAACAGAGTAATATGCTCAGGGCAGGGGTGTAAGGCACGTTTGTCTAGATAGCAGTAAAAGTTTACCATTAACCAAATGTTTCACTTACGACATTGAACATGCTATGCTGTTTAGCAAGCAGTGAGTGGGTAGCTCCCAAGGAACTGTTTGTCTCCTGAATTCCGGGAAGTCAGATACTGAGGGAGAGGAAGGCCTGTGTACATTGAGGGGTTAACGAGTACTAAACACTAGTAACTGGATGTTTGGAGGGTGTGCGCATTCCCCTGCCACAGATGGGATGCCGTAGCTGTCTTGGCAGGTTAGTCTCATGGTCAGCAGACATCACTAGGAGTCTTCTGACTTCAGAAAGAGTTCAGCTTTCTGGCTGCTGGCTTCTCTTGAGGTTCTGAGATGAGACCATTATTGCCTGTGTTTATTAGAATTACAAGAGAGAAAAGTTTTCAACTGGTAATTTAGGGGGCTCCTTTTTCTTAAGCTGAGTATTTCTAATGAGAGGCTGTGATAACAAAGCTACATATTTTCTTTCAGGTGAGTTCCAATGAATTGGCCCATGAAGGAAAAACAGGAACACATTGGGCCACACTGCACGAGAATGGCACCACCTTCCAGACGCTGCCTCCTTCTGATCGGTGCACTGGGCGTCTTTGCATTTGACCGCTTCACACAAGGTCAAAAGAACAGCACACTAATTTTCACAAAGGAAAACACCATCCGGAACTGCAGCTGCTCTGCAGACATCCGGGACTGTGATTACAGTTTGGCCAACCTGATGTGCAGCTGTAAAACTGTCCTGCCTTTTGCAATAGAGAGAACCAGCTACCACGGCCATCTGACCATCTGGTTCACAGACACAACTGCGCTGGGCCGCCTGTTGAACTTCACACTAGTCCGGGACCTGAAGCTTTCCCTGTGCAGTTCCAACACCCTCCCCACTGAGTACTTGGCTATTTGTGGGCTGGAGAGACTTCGCATCAACTCAGAAGCCAAGCATCCATCCCCAGAGCAGAGTTTACACATCCATAGTGGTGGGGACAGCAACTCCAAAGAGAAGCCAGTGTCATTACACAAGGGCTGGCAGACATGTATGTATATATCATTCTTAGATATGGCTCTTTTCAACAGAGACTCATCCTTAAAATCATATAGTATCGAAAACATTGCTAGCATTGCCAACAACTTTCCTGACTTTTCTTACTTTAAAACCTTCCCAATGTCAAGCAACAAAAGCTATGTGGTCACAGTCATTTACTAACTTTGTCATTGTGTCCAACCTCTAGGAACTTCGACAAATGATGGATCATTTGAACAAGGAGTCTGGGAATAAGGTCATGAGACAGCTATTCCTACTCATAGCTGTGCCTTTTAACCCCCAAACTCTTCTCATGGTAGAGCCACACATAAATAACCAGCTCTCTCTGCTCTGCTCCATGCTCAGCCTTGGTAGCTATTTTGAAAAAGAAAGTGAAAAGAAACAACAACAAAAAAAATGAACTTGATTCAGTCTGGAGACTTGTCTCAAGGGCCAGTTAGAACCTAGGTCTTGGCAACTGGGAGCTTGTCAGACCAGAAGAGAAGAAAGCAGTGCACACCGGAAACAGCTTATTGGGGCTCATTATAGAGTAAGACATCCCCCACCCCCACAGAAAGGCATCTTCTTTTAAAATACAATAGTCACCCTTTATCTGTGGGGGAACACATTCCAAGACCCCCCAGTGGATGCCTGAAACTGCAGATAGCACTAAGCCCTACCTATACTCTTTTCTCCTACATACACATTCCTATTATAAAGTTTAATTTATAAATTATGCACACTTATGGATTAACCACAATAACTAATAATAAAAGTAGAACAATGATAACAATACACTGTAATAAAAGTCATGTGAAAGTGCTTCTCTCTCTCAAGGTATCTGTTACATTGTATTCACCGTTCTTCTTGTAATGATGTGAAATGATACTTAAAGGAAGCATCTTAGGGCAGGAGCATCATGTCCCTGGACTTGAACACTCAGGGTCACTCCAGGTGAACTGGGCTGCACGAAATAATCACACAGAGACAGAGAAATACCTTTTTCTTTGGGTCCTGTGACAGCTCCTCTGACCTTAGGGGTCTGCGGAAAGAGAGAGAGGAGCACGTGCTGAACCATTTTATTGGGAAGAAGCCATTCATATTAGGCAAGGGGTAGGATTACAAAGGAATAGGTGAGTGTAGCTCAACCCTGGCAGGTGACGCCTACACCTGGAGCCACGCCTTGCTCTCTGAGCTGGGACAATGCCCAAGTCACCATGAAATGCAGTGCTTGGTCAGAGCCTCCTGCTTCAGGACTGGAAGGCGTGGTCATTCACAGCAGCTCCCCACACAGGAGGAGTGGGAGATTTTAGCACATCACTCAGGACAACTTGAAATTTAAAACTTATGAATTGTTTTTTTCTGGAATTTTCCATTTAATATTTTGAAATGATGGTTGACTGCCAGTAACTGAAACCACGGGCGGGGGAATTGTGGATAAGAGGAGAATTCTGTACTGCTTTAAGTTTTTTTTCTGCTTCGTTTTGTGACATTGTCTGGAATTCCCCTCAGTGGAGAATGGTAGATATCAGAAGTTTGGGTTTCTTTGAACTCCACAAAATGTCTAGGATCTCTGAGGCTAATATTTTCCAATATCTTGCTAAGAACAGATGCACTGAGAAATGGGAGTTTCAAGAGCATGATTTTGGAGGGTGGGATAAGGTAGAATAGGCATAGATAGGGCAGGAACTTGGCACCCCAAATGAGGGCAAGGGTTCTGAAGAGGGGGATGCAGAGGTGAAAATTGGAGGGCACAAAAAATAAAATAACTGCATATTGTATCTCAAGATGTTGCTTAGAGCAGCCTAATCCCAGGGAAAGTGTTCTTCAAGCCCTTCTCTTTCACATCCTCCATTCTCTGAATCTCCCAGCTTTGTCTCGCTTATTCTACTCCCCCCACTTTTCCTCTCATTTCCTCTTCCCTCTTTCCTCCTTGCTTCAGAAATTAGAACTTAGATTATTATCAGTCGAAATATTAAACTTCATTAGGGGCTAGCCTGGGAGTCTAATAATCACTTCTTATTCCCATGGAGAAGGGTGCTCAACATATTATTAGTGTGTGTCGATCCCATGCTGGGGTTGAGCCCCAAAGCCTCATGCACACTCGGCAGAGGCTCCACCACTGAGCCGCATGTGCTGTGTGCAGTTCCTGGTAAACTTTACTTTTTTCTTTGTCTTTGATAATTAACAAAAATAAATTTTGGTACTCAGACCATTTGCAAATTCAAGATTGGAAAGGTAAGACACTTTATGTGACCTGATGAACACACAAAAAAATGGTGTTATGTGTGTTGATAAAAGGAATGAAAGCAACATATTTTTTCAAATCAAATTGGTTCAACATTACTGAAAAAAACCCTTCACCTCACAGAGATACAACTTGCCATTACAGTAGAACAGAAAGAATCTATGACAACTGTGTTCAAATGTTTACACTCAAAACACAATGATGTCAAAATATTATTGCACCCATGATTCCATAATGATAAAAAATAGTTTGATATGATATCCCAGAGATGGGCCACTTTCATTACAGATGACAATCATCACTTTTTTTTTTCTTTTAACCTTAACATAGGGTGACTGAAGTAATCTGAAATTTCTACATTTGCTTAATTGGTGGGGGATTTGGCCATTCAGGCTAATTAGCATGAGTTTATAATGTCAGTGTTTAAATTAGGCCAGAATGCAGACCAGAGTATGAATTTTAATTTAAAAAATGCAACAACCTCATTACTGCATTGTACTTCAGAAGTAACATTAAATTAGAAAAGACAAAGAAGGGGGAGAAAAGGAGGAGAAAGAAGACAAGTAAGGCATAAGTGAAAAATAATAAACATATCTTTACTGTCATTAGTTATGGAAAATGTAACAAATTGGATTTTAATGAAGTTTTATTAATGCATAAAACTAAGTGATGTTATAAATTATGTACGTCCTATAAAACCTATCATTTGGTAGCTTTAAATAGTTTCAAAACCCTTTCACATATGTTTTCTTAGTTCTTATGAGAAATCATTGAGAGCTAATGAGATTTAAACCAATAGAAGGTGGGATCTAATTTAGCTATTAGTCAAGGCTGAGGTTTCCAGATTTCTAACTGCAACTGTAGGTTGGGTGTTGCTGTTGTGGGATAAATAAGGGATGGAAAATCCACAGCACAGACATGGTAATAAAGGGAATTCTGCACTCAGCAGCAGGGTCGGAGGAAAGCAGGGAGTGGTGGGATGGCTGTAAACTGAGGGTGTAACTCCAGTGGCTCAGCTGCTGCTGAGTGCTGCCCTGGAACACTGTGGGACCAGATCTGATGCTTCAAAAGAATTCGGAATTCCAGCTTTTTATGTGAAAATTTGCAATTTGCAAATGTTGACATGCCATTCAGTTTGTTTTTTTTTTTTTTTTTCATAACATCATGTGGTCAACAAACTATGCTAATAGTTACATCTGGACTGGGGCCAGTAGCAAGTTGGTGAAAGTTTAGCCACCATTTAAAAAAAATCTATATCTCTATCTGTATCTGATTATATGGGTCTATATACAGATACACACACACAGGTATCTGTATATATATATATATATGTGTGTGTGTGTGTGTGTGTGTGTGTGTGTGTGTGTGTGTGTCTATATACAGATATATATAATGTACATAGTTCATTATGAAGTATATGCTGTACAGAATTTGAAAATGATAATAAGTATGTATTATTCTTTATTAAGACTTCTACAGCACAATTAATTCTCAAAGAATAGTATGCTTGATTTTTGTCAAATTCTCATATCTAAAACCAACCTAGAGTTGCAACCAATGAGAAAGTGCAGTTCTGGCATGAATAGTGATTGAGATTTTCATTTATGCTGGGAATAAGAGCAAAGTTAAACAACAAAAATACACATGGGAACATTAGTTGTTAGTTGATGATGTAAGTAACTTCTTTGCTAAATCAAGTGATAGTTTTCAAATCCTGGAGGAGTATTTCTTCTATCTGGGGGCTATCTATAATTTAAAGGGTATAGACATGATTTAAGTTTAATCTACATTTTTTATCATTTTCAACAAAATAATAACTCAAACTCATATGTGCAGTGCTTTTCTGATTTCAGTGTTTTAAATATTGTCACTACAACCAAACAAAAGCTACCAAGAAAACACAGAGTTGAGAACAGACGCACAGTAGGACACCATTAAATGACATCCTCTCAACAGATGCAATAGGTACAAATAATATAAAGAGCATTATAGAAAAGTGTAGTAAAATAATTAGGGAGCCATGAGTTTTAAGTATTTATTATCTTCATTTTATATGACTTATATAATTGTAAGTTTATATAATTTAACTTTTAACAATGACTGTGCTTAACACTCAGCTTGGAAAATTTCTAAAAATTTGCCAATGAGGTCCTGCCAGCCATATAAGTCCATGCCACCCACTGGCAGAAAGAGATGCTGAAGGATCTACATGAAGACGATGAGTTTAGGGAAGGGAAGGAGAGTCGATTCAGTACAGAAATGCCCATCTTCTCACCTTCCAGACCCACAGGTGGAAGTCTTAGGGATTAGCAACCACCCTACATGCAGTAGTCCACTCTTCAATATGCAGAGCAGTGGTCCCAAAAGTTCCTAACGTGGGAGATGGTGGGGTTGAGGAATTTAAGATCTTATGAGAAAATATGAGTTAAGAGCTAAAACTCTTCAGTCAAACTACAAAAGCCCCCACCCCAGAAAAAGAGAAAGGAAACAAAGGAATGAAGAAGAGATATGAATGATATTTTATGCAAATTAAATTGGTAAAGATGGGAATCAGATAATCAATTTCAATTTCTCAGACTTTCTCCCTGGTAATTTCAGGACCTTCCTTTGTCCATAATTTACAGGAAGAAGTTTAGAAATTTGATTTGATTTGTTTCAGGAAAAATGAGGTGACAAGGTCCTTTATTTATGCATTTGAAGTTGAACAGAGTCACTAATCACAACTCAGTGGTGCACAAGGTTGGTCATGATTTACTCAGTTCATCTCCAGAGAAGCAGAGGATCTGCAGAGAGGAGAAGGAATCATAAAGCCTTACTGATTTAACCAACACAGCACAACCAACAGACAAAGTGGAAAAAATAGCCCCAAACTTAACCCAATTTTTAAAAATTTTGTACATGTGGAAACAGAAAGAGACTAACAATCAAATAGGAA